CCCACACCTGTACACCACATTCTTCCTCTGGCACCTCTCTGTGTGCATCTTTCTCACTAGAATCATCCTTTTCTGCTCAACACATATCCAGTTCTACATTCTCTTTACATTCAGGCAGGTTCCTTGGATGCTTTTGTCCCAAGGGGCTTGGGGAAGAGAGTTACTTGTCCCGTATATGTGTCTTTAGGGGCACTGAGTTCTTGAATCAGGCTTCCTGGTGCTCATTGATAAACTGGAGCTCACAGAAGTATGTTTGCATGCATCTGTGTGTGTGTGTGTAAAAGCCTACCACTAAGGAATCCTCTCATTAGGGTGCTGTCTAGGGTTTTGCCGTTGTGGCCTGGGAAGCAGATAAATAATTACAAGTGTCCCTTTAGCCCTGGTTCCGAGTTGCTGCCTACCCCAGCCTAGTCATGGAATCTTAGAATTTAGGGCTGGGAGGTACCATGTAGATCATGTCAACTCCCTGTTGTTACAGAAAAGGAAACAGAGCCCCAGAAAAGGGAAGCAATTTGTCTGAGGTCTTGTCCCAACAGCAGGACTGGGGCCTCTTCTTGCCCTGGCCCTTGGATACCTCCTCCCCCCTTGACTCTTTCTCTACTAAACCTAGCTAAGGTAAGGCACCTGCTAGAGGAAATCAGGGAGCCAGGTGACATTGAGTCAGGAGAGAGATGGTGGGTACAGAGATGGAGACAATGAGACTCCAGGGGTGGGGCTGCAGGGATCTGGGATTCCACACGAAACTGTTTGGAACTGAAGAAATTGGAAACATGGGGAGGGGCAGGGGGGAAGGAGGGAGAAAATAATAAGGAAAACGTAGGAGAAAGAGTGGATTGTAATTCTCCGACGCCCTTGCCCCAAGGCTTCTCTGGGCACCTCCCTTTACAAAATATAAATAAAAGTAAATTGCAAAAATAGGCCAACGCCATCTCCCTCAGAGGCTGCCTCAGCAGGAACAGTGGGAGGCTGAACTGTGGGCCTTAACCCTGTGGGAATAGGTGCAGCAAGAGAGAAGGAGACAGAGATGGGGAGGGAAAGAGGTCCCGGGATGGGTCGAGAAGAGTGTCTTCCCCCTGGTACCCACCTCCACCGCCCCCCCCCCAAAAAAAGAGCAGAAGTGTGGGCAAATCACTTATCTCTCAGCCTGTTTCCTCATCTGTAAAATGGGGTTGAACTAGGTGGCATCTTCCAGCTCTAACACTCTTCTCTGATTCAGCCCCCCCAGGAGTAAACTTTCTGAAAGCAGAGACTACTTGATTTCTGACTTTGCATCCCCAGCATTTAGCATTGTGCTTAGTATATCGTGGGCGCTTAATAAATGCTTAGCGATTAGTTGCATTCGGTTAAACAAGCATTTATTTAGCGCCCACTATTTACCATTTACTGTGTATTGGGTGATGGGGACACAGACAAAAATAAAACAATTCCTGCCCTCAAGCAGCTTACATTCTACTGGAGGGGGGAGAACTGTATGTACACAGTAAGTAAACACAAAGAATGTGTAAAGCAAATGTGATGTAAACCACTAGCCTACCTTTATTTAAAAAAAAAAACCTGTCCCTCTCAGTTTTCACTGATCATCTGAAGTGAAGTGCTGCCCTCTCTACTGGTCCTCGAGAGGCTCCCTGGAGACAGGGGGAGGGCCTTGCAGGGGAAGGGTCCTCACCTCCCTTCCCTTCCATCTCTGGTCCCAGGGATGCAGAGCCAGGGTCTTCTGGCTTCAGACACACCAGGGACCTCAGAGGTGGGGAGTGGGGAGAGGTGGAATAGTCAGCAAAGGGAACCAGTTCCCTTCTCCCCAGAGAATCTGGAGGTGGGAGGAGAGGACAATACAGCCTAGTCCTGTGATGAGATGGAAGAGATAGGAAATCAGGCCCGATGGTTGCATCAGCTGAAGGGCGTGTTCCTCACCTCAGATGACAGTGGGAGCAATGAGTGGGAGCTTGGTTCAAGAGGGGTATCGGGAGACTGGAGACAGCCGAGTTTGGGGACCGGGGGCTTGGCGCCAGCGGCAGCAAGGATACCAGAGCTGGATTGGGGAAAGCCGGAGGCATCATTGTGTGTGTGTGTGTGTGTGTGTGTGTGTGTGTACATACAGGGTCCACAGTAGGAATCTGTTTGTTCTCAAGTGCCTTTCTTACATATTCAGAATGCAATGTGTGTGTGTAGGTAGAGGTGTGTATAGGGGGCTTACACCATCTATGTTTTTAGGGCAGAGAAAGTGAGCATATACAGGAAAACATCTCCAGAGAGACGAGCATCCCAAGCTGAGGAGGGTCCCCTGCCCACTCTTTCTCCTCCCTAACCTCTTATAAATGGGCTGCACCTAGAGACACTGTGTGAAGGAGTCTAGGAAAGAGGTCAGAGGAGGTAGTGTCCTACAGTGAAAAGAAGCTTCCTTAGGAGTCAGAAAACATGGGTTCAAATCCTGACTGATACTACCTTAGGCAGGTCTTTTAGTCTCTCAAGTTCATCAGCTGTAAAATGAGGGGGATTGGACTAGATGGTCTGTGAGGTCCTATGACATTCCCCTCACCAGAGCCAAGCCAGGGATTCCCTTAGGTCTTTGTACCTAAATGGGGGGGGAGTGGGAGAGGGAGGAGAGAGTGAAGGGACCAGGAGCCCCTACCCAGCATTCTCTTTGACTGGTCAGCTAGCACAAGAACAGGTCAAAAGCCCATGAGAGGAAAAGGGCTAGGCCTGGTTAGCCCATTCTGGGTTATAATGGACTCCAACCCTCTCTGGTCTAATCCTACCAGATAGGAGGTGGGGGTTGGTAGTACAGGGACCTCCTATAGGGGTTTATTGCAAAAAGAAGCAGTGTAGTGGTATAGTAGACAGAGTCAGGATGTCTGTTCAAATCCTCCCTCCGTCACCAAGCCACGTAACCTCTTGACTCAGTTTCCCTATCTGTAAAATAAGGGAGTTGGACTTCCTGGCCTTTAAGGGCCTTTTTCAATGCTGGGTCTTTGATTCCGTGAAACAATCAGAAATCCTGATTGTGACATGTCATCTCGGGTCAGAGCGGGGGAGCTGTCTTCAGGCCTCTATGGTGATAGATGCCCCGGGAAACCACTGCCCCCCACCCAGGACCCTGGAGCTCCAGAGGGCAGCAGAGCAAGGATGCTGAGGGTTCCAACCTGCTGATTTGCCTCTCCACGCGCCCCCCAGCCCCATCTCCCCAATCTGCTCCAAATACTTCTTGCCCTGGTAAATAAGGCAAAGGTTTGTTTTAAGGAGAAAGAGGCTTCCTTGCGTGTTTACTCGGCACACCCTGCTCAACCGCCCTGGGATTCTTTTCTTCTCCGAACTAAAAGAGCAGCAACAACCAAAAAGACAAAGAAAGAGGAAATTCTGAGTGAGGAAATTAAAAAAGAAAAAAACAAACCAAACAAAAACCCCTTTATGCCCAAATAACCCCGAGCCTTCGGGGAGGGCCGGAAACTGGGGAGAGAGGACAGGCGAGGGAGAACGCCTGCAGCGCGGAACTGGGGTGCTGCGTGCGGGACCGTGCCACCGCGTGTGCGCCCGCACACGCACACACACACACACATACACACACTCGTGTCACTCGCGGGAACACGCTCTCGCTGCCCTGTTCATTCATTCTCCTCCCAGCACACGCGCGCCCCACTAGGCTCCCGCGTCACCGGCGCGTGCACTCACACGCACATCCAGCAGTCACACTTTGAGGCACACTCGCGCTCCAGGTGTGGGTCGCCCCGCCCCGCGCCCTCTCTGAGTCCCGCTCTCTCCAGTCCCTCACACTGGCACCTGCGCCCGGGCGCTGGTCCTGCGCCGGCATCCCCGGAGCCTCGGGGGGCGAAAGTTTGCATCTGCGCCCCCCCCCCCCCCCCCGCCACCGCCGCCGGGCACGGGAACCGGAGCTCTCCCTTGGCCGGTCCCGGTTCCTTCTGTCTCCGGGCAGGGACCGGAGGAGCGGGGGAGGCGAGGAAACGGGCCGGACGGGAGGGGTGGCCCCGCTCCCCTCTCCAGGCCCGGGGCGCACTGGGTGGAGAGGCGAGAGCCTCACCCCCCAGCCCCGTGGGTCTCAGCTTGGAGATGCTCCCCTTTGCCGGCCGGTGGAGTGAGTCCGCTGCACACGCACACACACACACGCAGCAGCACAGTACAGTGAGTCGGAGTGCGGGCTCAAGTGTCTGTGTGTCCATAGTTAGGGGGTCGTGTGTGCACTTGGGTATTGTGTATTGCTGGGTCTCCAGCCCTGCCCTCTTACCCCAGCTGGCCGTGCGCGCGCGCGTCTGTGGTTGGTGCATGTGTGTTTGTGGGTACGTTTCGCGTGGGAGCGCGTCCCGGTGCTCTCCCCCCTACCCGAGATCCCGGTCGCACCCGCCCGGTCCTAGCCCCCTGTTCCTCGGGCTGGGTTTTCTTTGCGCCTCCCGCCCCTGCTCGCTCTCCTGTGCTCCTGGTGAGGAGTCTCCGCCTCCCTTCTCCCGGAGTCAAAGGTTTGGGAAATCACGGAGCCAATAAGACCAGCCGCCTGCCAGCGGGCCCTGATAGGGCGGTCCGGGACTGGGAGTGTGTGTGTGTGTGTGTCTGTGTCTGTGTGTGTGTGTGCGCGCGTGTGTGTGTATGTGTATGTATGTGTGTGTGCGTGTATGTGTATGTGCGTGTGTGTGCGCGCGCGTCTGTTGGTGTTGTGCGTGTGTGTGTGTGTGTGTGTGTGTGTGTGTGTGTGTGTGTGTGTATTTGCACCGAGAGCTCCGAAGCTTATTCACTTTAAGCATCTCTTGGAGGCGGCGATCCAGGAGCGAGCGACCGGAGAGAGAGAGGAGAGGGAGCGCAGAGAGAGCCCGAGCGAGCCCGGGCCCGGCCGGAGCCTGCGAGCCTCTGATCTTTCACCTGCCCCTGGGCCGGCGCTGGGCAAGGCCGGGAGGAGGCGGCGCCAAGGCTGGCCCTGCCAATCATCTCCTCTCCTGGCAGCGCCCCCGGCGCCCCCCCCTCCCTGCCCTCCTCCTCCTCCTCCTCCTCCCCCTCCTCCTCCTTCCCTCCTCCTCCTCCCCAGCTCCACTCCCTCCTGCCAAACTGTTAGCCCGAGTGTTACCGTCAGGCGCAATGACATCAGGGTTTTAAAACAACTTGTTATTCGGGGAGTAATCAGTTGCAATTAGGCATTAATTAAGTATTATGAAAGTTGATTATTTAAGTGAATTCGGCTTTCGACTCTCCGACTATGGTGAGTACGAGAGAGTGGGGTGGGGGGCGCCGGGGGGAGGGGGTTTGGGGCTGCTGCAGATGCTTCGATTTCGTCCTTTGACTTGACTTGGCGGGGGCGGAGGGGGAGAAGCGGGGAGGGGGCCTGGGTTGGGGCTGGAGGATCGGTGCGAGATCGGGGGTCCGGCCCCGCCTGGGTCCGTCGGACTGTGTGTGTGTGTGTGTGTGTGTGTGTGTGTGAGTTTGTGTGTGAATGTGTGTGTGCGCGCGCCTCTCTCCGTCCTTCTCCCTGCCCTCCCGGCCCCCAAAAGACTAGGATTGTCTATCTATAAATAGTTTCTCTTTTACTTTAATAAACTCGCCAGCACAGCTGAGCAGAGCTTCACGTTTGCAATGTCGGGGTGTGCGAACCAGAGAGAAGGAAAGAAACTTTTCTCCTTCTCTTTAACCCTCGTCTTCTCCTTCTTTCTCCCCCAGCCCCCCAGATATTTATCTTTTGGTAGGGGTGGGACAGGCGGGAGGGGAGGTTGGGGAGGGGGGAATGGAGCAGGAGGAGAAGTGGGGCAGGGAAACCAAGGTTGGGGGGGGTTGAACTTCAAGAAATGACGCTGAACAGACTTTATTTTTATTTTCTTTTTCTGGGCGTTCCCTGAAGAGTTTGGGACCAAAGAGAGAAGCATGGATCTTGGTACAGGTACTGGCCCGTGGGAACCCGGAGGGGAGGGGTGGGGGGAGAGACTTTCACTTTTCTTTCGGTTCTTTTACGGAAGTTATTATTTTTAGCCCAATGAGGTGGCAGCTGAGAAGAGGGGGCGGGGAGGGGGGCAGCCGGCTGGGAGAGGGTCGGCGGCTTCTTTCACACACTCGCCTTCTCCGGCTTCAGAGAATTATTATTATTTATTACCTCTTCGGGAACTCTGACTAATTTGATGCTTGTCATTATGAAAGAAGTAGGGAAGAGAGACCTGGAGGCACCCATTGAGAAGAGTTTGGGTTTTTTCGTGGGGTTTTCTAAAAATCCTGCTGTGTGAATGTTTTTCTTTCTTTCTGTTTTTTTTTTTTCCCTCTGTGCCTCATTCATGGGGTGTGTGTTTTTATTTTTTCAGTGGGGGGTGGTTGACTTTTTGAAAGCAGCGTCCTGTTGGGAAAGGTGGTTGGGCTGGTTTCGGGAGACTGTCTCAGAGTAAAGGAATTTAATTTATTTGGGACAAGGCTGTGTCGGATGATCAAGCTAGTTATTATGGCTAATGAGTATTTTTCACCTGAGAATCCGTGGGATGGCATGAGGCTGTTATCAGTTCAAAGTGAGGTGCCCAGGACCATATCTCCCCACCACCCACTTTTTCCACCCTTCCTGCCGGAAGACCAGGCCTAAGCCCAAGATGGACCTCTGACTCTAGGTTCAGGTTGAGACCAGTGGTAGCCAGGGGCAAAATTTGCCCTGGGATTTCGGTTTTAATTTAATTCAATATTTATCAGCAACTCCCACCTGGGGATAGGCCCTGTCTAGGGTTGGGGTTGGGGTTTGCCTCTAGCCCTAGTCGTGACTGGTACTCAATCTTGGCCTAGCCCTTCAGACCTTAGGGGAAAAACAACCAGTCTCCTTCCCTTATACATAATTTCAATTAAAAAAAAAAGTGTAATAAACAGGTAGATATTGTCATGGCCTGACCTTTGAACTCTTGTGTTTCATTTTGGAAAAGGATATATCAATGTGTGTATATGTGATATTTGAGCTGCATACATATGTGTAAAGGATATATTTATGTATAGACATATATATGTCTATATAAATATATATATATATGTATCTTTTTTAGATCCTGAATCAAAAGATTTATTCATCCAGGGGATTCTGGTCTTGTTCCCCAGGGCTCATAATGTATGACCTCTGTAGGGTCAGAGTGTTGTGGGTGGGGTGGAGTGCGGATAAAGGGGGATGGCTATGGGGGGGTGCATTTAAAGAGTTTAAAAGTTGTTCCCACCCCCTGTGACGTCTGATCTTTACTTAACTTGGTATCAAGGTGCCCCAGGGCCTCATGGAGGGAAGAAGGCAGCACCCCCTACTGGGCAGAGCTTGGCAAAAGTGTCCAGAGCCTCCAGCCATCCCGCCTGGCCTGTCTTCCCTGCCTCTGTCCTCCCATAGGGACCCAGCCTGCTTCCAAACCCTAATCAGGTGTTTGATCTGTTCCCTTCTACCCCGCCCCCTTTCTTCGGAAATGGGCCCCCACCCAGCCAGGCCAAGGGGCTGACATCCAGCCCTGCCTACCTGGTGCAGGCTCCCACACGCAGGCAGGCGGGCACGTGGGGCAGCCAGGAATTACTCACCGGGCCAGGCAGGGTTTTCCTCCTCCTTCTCCTCCTCCCCTCCCACCAGGGTGCCAGCTGGGGCTTCTGCCCCAACCCTGATGGAGGCCAGTCCCTCAAGGTCTGTCATGGGGGAGACTCCCCTGGGTGGAGAGAGGAACTCCATGACCCCATCCTAGAAGGAGGGCTGGCTTGGGTTAGGAGGAGGAGAAGCTTCCTAGGCAGACCAGCGGAGGGGTAGGGGCATCTCGCTCCCCATTGCCCCAGGATGAATCACTCCGCCCTTTACTCCAGGGGGGGCAGGCACTGGAAACTTTTCCTCGAAGTTAGGAAGGGCTTCTTAGGTCACCTCAGCCCTCTCTTAGCTGGAGCAGGGCCCTCCTGGCGGGACCCAGATACTGGCCTCCAGCCACTCTGTTGGGGAGGCCTAAAGTGCCAGGGTTCTAGCTGGCCCCCAGAAGAGAGCCAGCTGGTTAGGCCACCTCTACCTCTCCTTCAGATTCGGAAGTCTCTCTTTAAGTTCACCTCTCCCTAATGGGAAAGGAAAAAACCCAAACATTTCTTTTCTTTCTTTAATAAAAGCAAGAAAAGAGGTTGCATCCTCTGAGATGCGTTCTGGGTCAGTTTCAGTCTTCCCAAGGCTCACTTTTAGGATGTAGCAGAGGTCATCCAATTAGCCTATCTTGTCTACCTTGTCAGTCAAAGACAAGTTGTTTCCGCTGGGGGTGGGAGCTTTAGCTGGGTAGAGTGTAAGCGTCTTGAGGCTAGAGCTGGTGCCATCTTAACAGCTTCTATTAACATCTTCATCGGTGGACTTCACCGTCTTCTAAAGATCGTTGCTTTAAACGGGAACTTAGTCTCAAGTCACAAAAGGAGGGATCCAGAAGGGACCTTAGATCCGCGTTCCCCAACCTTCCAGGCTTAGAAGGCCATGGGCCGTGGGCTGCTCCTCACCCTTGTCTTGGGTTCCCTGCAGGATCGGGGGCCTCCAGTGGTGAGGGGGAGAGACAGGACTAAGGCTTCTCTCGATAAGTTGAACACGACTCCCCCACTCTTCAAGACCATGTGGCCCCTTTCCCCCCACCACAGTTCAGGAAAGGGCTGGATCAATCTGGACGTCTTGAGCAATAAAAAATGCCGATGTCGTCCTAATTCACCAGGCCCCGAGATGACAGCAAATTTACATTTTTTAATTAAACTAGCAGCCAGTTTTTATGAGAGGGGGTTGGGTTATGCAAATCAAATGGTTGTGTACGGAAGATTAGGAGAGTTTGGGAATAAATTCCACAAATGCTAATAAAAAAGAGAGAGAGAGAGAGAGAGAGAAGGAAGAGAGAGAGGAAGAGAGGAGGACATGGTTCCATTAGGCCCTTTTAGAGTGATTTCCCTTGGGGGAGGGAACTAGGAAGGAAGGAGGGGGAGAGAGAGTAAGCCTTCAGACACAGGTAAAGCCATTGTTCAGTTGAGAGGCCCATCGCTTGGATTGGGCCCCCAAAGGTCTAGTTTCTAGGCTGTAGACAAACCTGGAGCAGAGCATGCACCAGAATCCAAAGAAACACACAGGTTGTCAGGGTTTCTGTTACCGCCCCTCGGGGAACTGGAGAGGATGGGATGGGCAGAGGTTAGGAAGGGTTTCCATTCTAGCAGTACATGAACACAGAATCATAACCCAGGGTTTCTGTGGCAATGCCCGTGTCCGTGCTGTGGGCCCCGAAGCTTCGGCCAGAGCAGGTCCCCGAGGGACCCAGGGTGGACTCCAGCCAAACACGGGCCGGCTGGGAGTAGGGGGAGATGTCAAAGGAAAACAGCAAGTCATAAGACAAGGAGAGATAGTAAGAGAAGGACGAAGAGGGCCCGCCCAGAGGTTGACATCATTTTGTTCCAGCCAAGGTGGGTGTTATGAGTCAATCTCGGGAATCAGGAAATCAGAAGTTTAGCATTGGAAGGGACTGGTGCCAGATGCTGAGCTGGGCTTGATCATCTATCACTGAGGCAGGCTGTCCAAGGCCTCCATTCATAGGGACTAGAGAGAGGGAAAGCACCCCCAGAGATCACTCCTCCTTCCCCCCATTTGACAGATGAGAAAACTGAGGCCTAAGGTCACCCAGGTAGCAGCGAGAATCTCCTATTCTACGGTGCCTTCCCTCAGTCTGTTTGCTTGCTGAATACCTTGGTTTAGTCTTAAGGTGGGAAGGGACAAGAAGGCAGAAGAGAGGTGGGAAATTCACAGTGGCAGGAAATTTCCCCTATCCTGTTTCTTGGAGGGATATTTCCCAGGAGCCGTATGCATGGTGGGCAGGTAGTGAGATGCCAGGGCTGTCATCAGCACCAGCCAGTGCAGGCGGTGTCTGAAGGCCTGGGATTATACATACACGCCTGTGTGCCAACTTTGCCTGACTGCCGAGAGAGAGCGATAGAACAGTGGCCAGCCATGCCTGGCTTCTTTGGGGAGGGGGGCTCATCCTGTATTAATGTGTACCTTCACTGTTTGCAAAATGCCCTACAAGACTGATAATTTAAGTATCACTATCCCCATATTTCAAATGAGGAAACTGAGGTTTATGAAATTGATACCTAGTAAGGAGTAGAGCTGAAACCTGAACTCCAGGTGTCATGATGCCAAATCTAGTATTTTTCCCCCAGACTACCCACTTCTCGTATAGGATGACAAGAAAAATGCCATAGGGTATTTCAAGGTGGTCTGAGGATCCGGTGGTCACAAAATTGAATATGTTGCCCATTTCTCTCCTTTTCCTCCAGATGTCTCAACCCCCCTCCTGCCTTCTTATGCCCCCTTCTGCTAGGTTTAGCTGGGACCGCTGCAGACAGGTTGGGCGCTAGGATTCCTAACACACAGTTGGCACCAAGCACCCACCTCACCAGTAAGGCTTCCCAGGCCTCTTTTGCCAGGAGAGTTCCTAGTGAGAGGGGCCAAAGAGCCGTGACCCAGTACCACACTTAGGAGAGCTCGGAGGTGGGCACCAGCTGGCTTCCCTCCTCCCTGCTCCAGTGAGAATGGCATGGAGAGCTAATGTAATATGGACGTACAAGCCACAACTACCCCCCCCCAACACCACCAGGGATCCTGGCTCAGTTCCAAAGCTAGAGTTTTATGATGGAAAATGGAATAAGGAAAGGTACCTTTGGGAGGCTGAGTCACCACAGCATCATCGCCTAATTAAGACCACTGCCTCCCTTTGAGGCAGCCAGCCTACTTCTAGGGACAGAGTAGAGCAAAGCTGACCTCCCCTCCCCACTCCTCTCCTCCTTGGACCCAACCAACCCAGGGGTCCTGGGGCAGCTATTTCCCTCCTGTGGGAGGACAGGACCCATTCTCTTTTTTTCCCTCCACCCTGACTCCTAGGGTCATTGAGAGAGGGAGAGAGT